GAGAGAGAGAGAGAGAGAGAGAGAGAGAGAGAGAGAGAGAGAGAGAGAGAGAGAGAGAGAGAGAGAGAGAAGGTGGCCTGGAGATGGACATGCGTGAGATTGTGTATATGTGTGCGCGTGTGGTCTTCAGAGGTGGGTGTGGCACAACACTGCATGGCTGTTTTGTCGACTTTCGTTTTGCCGTGTCAGCTTAGAAGCGAGTTTGGTTGCATCTGTTGGAGTTCGGCTCTTCTTCGCATGTGGAGTTGTCGTTGTTTGGCCAGGGGAGTGCATCTGTCGACTTGGTGGATCTTAATACTTCTTATCTCTACCAATCGCTTGCCTTTCCGCACGCCGGATTATAATCATTATGGGAGACTGCTGCGAATGGTCTGGCTGCTGACAGATGAATCAATGGAAAGTTGATCAAGGGTGCGCTGTTTGAGGCCACCAACTTTCGTTATGTCTGTAGGTTCTTGTTGAGATTCAGATTTTTTATTTTTTTTTAAGAACCAAGCACTTTATTAATGAGGTTCAGATTCACTGGCTGGAAGAGATTCAGATTCATGCGCGCTTGGTTTTATGTTGAATGGTGGTGTCTGCTTCCTATGTCAACGAAAGTGGGCAGAGCTATTGGATAGATACGTGCGATGAGTAATCTTGATTTTCTTTCGCTTTAGGGTTTGTTTTACTTCATGCATTTGTTGATATCTTTTCTTCTTTATGTACTTGCGGATTGAATTTGGTTTAGGTTTTTGTTCTCTTTTTCTCTGGACTGTTGAGATCTCTCGAAATATGTTGGGGTTAGAATCCCATAGGCGAAGAGGCTCTCTGTTGGCAGCAATCCAAAATGGTGGCCTAAGGGGCTCGTTCCACCACACTTGACGAACCCTAGAGTCTCAAGTGCACCCTAATCCCGAAAATGTGATTAACTCACCCTTAGCAGAATCGTCGTTCCATGTGCACTAGAGGAAATACTTGAAACCGACGCCCTAGAGACGGCCGCGGCGGCCCAGACTGGTGGCGGTTCGTTTGGAGGTCGTGACGTGCACCAGCACGGGTTTGCTGGTTTGAAAAATTGTCCGTCCGACGACGTGGTCGCGGGCCCATCGGGTCCCATACGGGCCCGTGCCGCTTTTTTGAATTTTTGAATTGCGCGGCGCCCGCTTGGGCTGTGGGCGAGTCGTACAAGAGCCCCCGCCGCGCAGCCAAGGCGTGCGATTGAGTAATCGAAGGTCTGGCAGCGTTTGAGGGAGCGGAGTTGAGCAGCGTTCGGGGAAGCATAGTAGAGTACGCCATAGCGGGTCTTTCAGTGCGAGGAGGGAAATGGACGTGGTGGGTGACGTGGCGGCGCGTGAGGGGTTGACGGAGACCGAGAAGGGTTTGCTGGTCACTGTCCTGACGGCGGTATGTGAACACGTGCAAACAACAGGGGAGGCGCGTCTGCGGTCTCTCCGGCGAATGCGGCGGCAGACGGAGGTGGCCATGACGCGGGCGATGGCTGACTCGGGCGCGCCGCCTGTTTCGTGGGAYGCGCCTTTTCTCATGGCCAATGCCATCSTCGCYGGCGTGCTTCCGCGGGAGASTCCRCGGTGGTGGGTAAGAAGGAGGACCGGAGGAACGTGGGAGGACCTCAGCATATCAGACGATGCGACGACGGATTACTACCATGAGAAGCTACGGATGACGAAGGAGGTCTTCCAGGACATCGTCGCGGCATGCACACCCTTTCTTCATCGGCAGGTCACGCACTATCGTCAACCACTCCAGCCCGACCATATTGTTGCTTACGCGCTGTATAGATGGGCTTCGGGAGAGACCTTCGACAGCGGGACTTGTTCGTTCGGCATCGGGAGAGCATCTGACATCAAGGCTGTCAGGGATGTGACAGACGCAATCTTGGCGGCGTACCCAGACATTATAGCGATGCCCGTCGGTCGACGGCAGCGGCAGTTGACACGTGCTTTCGGAGCGAAAGGGTTCCCTAACTGCTTCGGGGCCATAGACTGCACACATGTATACGTGGACAAGCCCGCTAACGCGCCAGCCGAGGATTACTTCGACCGGAAGCAGCAGTAATCCATCGTGGCGCAGGTCGTCGTGGATCTTGACAAGCGTGTGCTAGACGTTTTCTGGGGCTATCCGGGTAGCGTGCATGATGCAAGAGTGTTGTGGAACTCGTCACTGTACAGGCGTGCTACGGCGGGGAATCTATTCAACGCGGAACCTGCTATTTTGCCCGGAGGGGTTCTCACAACCGGGTATCTAGTGGGGGACAACGGCTATGGGCCCATGAAATGGATCGTCGTCCTGTACGGTGGGGTGGAGCAGGTGCCGGATGTGGCGTTGTTTGACGCAAAACAGAAGACGGTTAGAGGAGTGGTGGAAAGGGCTTTTTGCCGTTCGAAAGGAATGTGGAGACTGTTCCTGTGACACCATAAGACGAACATGGATAACATGCCGCAGCAGTTCACTGTTGTTTGCATCCTCCATAACCTGCTGATAGACGCTGGTGTCGACTTCGATGAGAGGCTGCTGATGGAGCGCGATGCAGACAGGAACGAACGGTCGATAGATCTTGGAATGTATCCACCGGCGGTGCCTGTTGCACAGCGAAACGCCGATCCCGAAGCTCTTGCTCTCAAAGATGCTCTCCACGCGCGCATCTCACTGTTGCCCCGCTGACGACCGTGAGAGAGAGAGAGAGAGAGAGAGAGAGAGAGAGAGAGAGAGAGAGAGAGAGAGAGAGAGAGAGAGAGAGAGAGAGAGAGAGAGAGAGAG